TAAAGACTTATATCAGAAAAGCAGAAAGATCATTGTGCTTTAAAAAAATCCACTTATCTTACTTGAAAGTCAGAGTTGAGGAGAAGAGAGAGATGGGCTAACCAGGGTGCATCTTTCCTGCACAGACAAGGAAGGCAGATGCTCCAGGCCACTTGTTGAGTTTTTTAAACTTCAATCATTATGTATGGTCATCCTTTCATGAAAGATCAAGTTCTATCACATTTCACAAATGACTATACCCAAGTAAAGTCTGTCTCTCTGTGTCTTTTCTTCTCTTATCTCCTTCTTCTTCTTTTTCAGACATCCTTCCACAATATTTCTAACATAGTTTTGGAAAAATAACCCTACATATTATCACCACAGTGTGAACACTCCTGATGATTGGGCCATATTGTGAAATATAATTATATTTTTTCCCTGAATGTTAAGAAAACTTATGTTTTCTCTGGAATTAAGAACCTGTTATGGATGGGTTTTTCCAGTTTCCTTTTGGCTTACTTTTCTTTGGAGTTTAAGCCTTCAAAAGCTTCACTTTGCCTGACTATGCTAAGGACCTTCTTTTATCAGCATCTTGCAAGTTCATGGTGCCTTTCTTTGGCTGAAATTTCCAAATTTAAGGATCTTATGTCTTTTTTTAAAAAATAATTATTTTATTTTAGATCTAGCATGATTGCTCAGTGGGTAAAATCCTTGCCTGCACATGTCAGGATTCCATATGGCTCTGGTCCATGTCCCAGCTACTCCACTTCCCATCCAGTTCCTTGCTTGTAGCCTGGGAAAGCAGTGGAGGACAGCCCAAAACCTTGGGACTCTGCACCTGCATGGGAAACCTGGAGGTTCCTGATTTCAGTTCAGCTCAGCTCTTGCCATTGCGGCCATTTGGGGAGTGAATCAGTTATTGGGACATCTTTCTCTCTCTTTATCTCCATAAATATGATATGCCTTTCCAATAAAAATATATCTTTTTAAATGATTATTTTATTTTTATTTGAATAAAATGGCATTACAGAGAGAAATATAGATAGAAAGAGAGAGGCAGAGAGACAGAGAAGGTTTTTTATCCACTCATTCACTCCCCAAATGGCTTCAACAGCTAAAGCTGAGCAGGTCTGAAGCCAGGAGCCAAGAGCTACCTCCAGGTTTCCCATGTGGGTACAGGATCTCAAAGACTTAAGACATCTTCTACTGCTTTCTTAGGCCATAAACAGGGAGCTGGATGGGAAGTGGAACATCCAGGATAGAACTGAAATCGATATGGTATGCCAATGCTGCAGCTGGAGATTTAGCCTACTATACCATGGCACTGCACACACACACCTGCCCGCCCATCCCCAATTCCACATTTTCATCTTTCTTAATTTAGTCCTTTGTTTGGACAGAGCACATTATCTAGTAGCTTCTCAATTACAAGCACACAGGAGATGAATCTTGTTTGAAAATGAATTTATTTTCCTTTATATTTAATTGATTGTGTCAGTGTGAAATATTACAGTGGAAATCATTTTCCACCATTGCTCAGTGACTCTGGCTTCTGCATTTGCTTAGAGAAGGGCAAAGAAGACATGGCTTTTATATGTTTGAATGTGACCATCTTCCAAAATCTTTTATTTTGGCAAGCACTTCCCAAACCCCTGCCGTAACAACCAATCTGCTGATTTCTATCATGGTAAATAAATTTTGTCTATGAAATCATATGTACCCCTTTGTGTCTGGCATCTTCAATAAATGTTTGACATTTATTTACTTGGGTGTCTATCAGTGGTTCATTTCCTTTTTATTTATGAATTGTGTTGACCGCATCACTAATTACACATTCACTGATCAATGGAAAATTGACCTCTTTCCAATTTGAGGATAATAAGAAATTATGTTTGAGAATTTACACAAGACATTTTGTACAACTCAACTTTTTAATACTAACCTTTCTATGTATTTTACTTAATTTTTAAATTTGCTTATTTAAGAGGTGAGAAGACAGAGAAAGAGACATAGATAAATACAGAAAGAGACCCTATTCACTGGTTCCCTCCCCAAATGCTGGAAGTGAAACTGAGATCCAGAAACTCAATCCAGGGTCTCACATATGAGTGACAGGAACCAAATCAGTTGAGCCATCATTGGCCAGCTTCCAGGGTCCACACTTTCTGGCAGCTAGAGTCAGGAAGACAGAACTGTGACTCAAATCCAGATGTCTTTATGTAAAAGATAGGTGGTTTAATAGGTGTCTTAGCCACTATGTCAAGCAACTTCCCCTCAAGTCATTTTAAAATCACTAAGCGGGACTCGGGTTGCCTTGCATGGGCCCCTGTGCCCACCTGCAAGGGTGGTACCGCATTTGTGAGCCCCAGAGGCAGGAATCCAGTGGAGCTTGGGTTGCCTGGCCCAGGTCCTTGAACTCACCTGCAAGAATATGCCCTCCTCAGTAAAAAAGGTGGAGCAGTGGACACAGACCCTGATGCACATGGAAAAATATTGCAACCCATTTGGTACCGCAGAAGAAGAAGGAAAACAGAGCAAATTGGACAAGCACTCCAGGCACACAGTGACAGCAAAAAAAATCCAGATGAATGAAGACTTGAGGTTGACCATGTCAGCCAATGGGCATTGAGAGGGCTGTATCATACTTGGATCAGCAAAATTAGCAGCATTTTAGAACTATCCAAACCCCTTGGGCAGACCCCTTGGGATATGCACACATTGGGACCCTAGGTGGATATCAGATAGTGGTTTCCTATCCCTGGGTTCTGGGACATTTGAGAAACTGAGTGTGGCTTATCCCTTTGTTTCCTCCTTTCCCCCCAAACAAGAAGAAGAAATAGCAAATTTGGAAATAATTATTCCACCCATTTATCCCTAACCCTCAATCCTTCCCATCCTGATCTATCAAGTAATCAACATAAAAAAAATTTTTTTTAATCACTCGAGAGAACCTTAAATGTCAGTTAAATAAATCAGACATATACATTTTAATTTATCACTTTGTTTCTAAAGTACACAGAACATCCAAGGCATGGCTAATCTGAGCCTTTCCATACTCCAAATCCCATTGCAATAATGCAGAAGGGTGGTCTCAACTTTGGTTTACCATCAACATTCTCTATGAACCTTGGCATGATTCTTGGGTTCTGCCCTAGATGTAAAACAGAGGAGTTTTTAATTTACTAGGTGTGAGGCAACTGAAGTTTGAGTACACACCCTGGGTGATTTCGAGGCCATTTCAAGTTTGAGAAATACAGCATGCAATATGTTTCAGTATTTAAGTCATTACGTAATGATAGTTGGATGGCCAGAGGTGTTCCGCCCTGGGTGGGTCATTGGCTGACATTCTGTCAGATAAGGTCAGCCCCGCCAATGGGAGTAAAATGCCTCAGTCTTTTCCCTGCCATCTCATTCCTTGTAATAGCTATTGATTTCTCACAGACTGTTTCACAATATCCCAATTCCATGAGCCAGACACTGAAAGACAAAACAAGTAGTCCAGAATAACATTATCCAGTTCTACTCAGTGCTGCCCTCGACAAGTCATGTCCACTCCATAGAACTCAGTGTCCTGGTCATCTGAAGGAAATCAAGTCACTAAAAGTCATTATCCAAACCCTGGAAAACAAGCACAAGGACTTTCGGTATCTTTTCACTGGTCTTGTCTAACAGACTCACCTAAGGGTCTTCTCACTGTCTATACATATATATAATCTCACTTGACCTATTGCTATTATTAACTTGTAGAAAACACAAGGAATGTGCAGCTTTTTCAGTAGTGATACAAATCACATCTGTCTACAGAGAAGATCATGCCTGAGGTTGATAATTCAAGAAATGGGGGTCTGAAGGGACTTCAAAAGTGCATGAAATACAATACAAAGATAAGTTTATCTGTGTAACAATTTTTGAAATCTATGCTTCTTTATGTTTTAAAGATTTATTGAGGGTTTGGCATTGTGACATAGTTGGTAAAGCCACCACCTGAGAAACCAGTATTGCATATGGGTACAAATGCATGCCTAGCCGCTTGACTTTCAATCCAGCTCTCTACTAATGGCCTAGAAAAAGAGAAGATGGTCCAAGTGCATGGAACCCTGTCACTCCTGTGAAAGAACCAGAAGAAGCTCCTAACGCTTACCTTCGGCCTGGCCCAGCACTGGCCACTGCAGCCATCTGATGAATGAACCAGCATATTGGAGAATGAGACAAAAACAGAGAATTCTATGCAGCCAAGAGTCAAGAACTCCATCTGGTCTTCCACGTGCATGGCATGGACCCAAGCAATTGGCCATTGTCTGCCACCTCTCAGGTGCTTTACCAAAGAGCTAGATAGGAAGTACGGACTAGCCTGGACTCAAATTCACATGCAAATATGGAGTGCAGAGACTCCAAGTGACAACTTAATGCACTGTTTTCATGAACTCTTCCAAGACTCCAGTGAAAGCACATGCCCAGACACACAGAAGAAAATGAAAGAAATAGACATGTTCACATAGAAAACAGGTAAGAATTCCTTTTATCCATAGTCAGGCCACACTTTGGTAAAAATCTGTTCTTACAACTTTGTTTAAAATCCAAGAAACAAAAGGCAATGTCTTTTGATATGCATGATTTGTTTGCATCCAGAGCAACCAAAATTTCCAAAGAATGTTAGTCTGCAGCTTGTGCTATGCAGAAGTGAAAGGATCTGATAAATGGGAAAACCAAGGTTGGGTCAGGCCAAAGGGCCTGCCAAGGGCCCATGCATGGTAGAGTTTGCCTTGGAGGTCTGGTTGCTTCAGCTTGGGAGGAGAGCCCTTCACTGTCCCATGCCATCTGCCTCTGAGTCCATATTCTGTTCTTTGTTGTCCTGAAGCCATTACTTCTTCTCCATCCACACCAGACAATTACCAGTAGCTCTATTCACTCCCTTGGCACCACTGTGAAGATGGTACTGAGATAATACAAATGAAAACATGCTGAGGACCAGAAAGTTCAAGACAAAGATCTCTAACCATGTTGCTAGGTCGAGGCTGGGTTCAGGCGTTGTTTAGTTCTAAGTTGAAGGCAGTGTTGTACAATCTCCCCTGCTCTGAAGTCAGGATGATGGGCTGGCCTATCTTGGAGGAGGCAATGAACCAACCAGGAAAGGCCACAGACTCAAAGGTGGAAGTTCTGCCCACTTTGGAGTGGTAAAACAGGAAGGGGATCACAGGCTCAGTGTGGTGATACAGGTCCATGATTTCCTGCTCCTAGGTGTGAGAAATACAAGTTATGTCCACACAGCCCATTAGTGTTTCAAAGTTGAAGAGCACCTCTTAGAATAAGCCTAGAAAACACATGTCAAGAGAGCAGAGAAGAACGAACATGCACAGAATCCCATCTTCCCAGCCTCTCCCTCTACTGCCATCCAGAGCTAATACAGGCAGCACACAAAGGAGACGGCAATGAACATGTGGTCACACTTGAGCAATGAATTGGAGCTCTATTCACACAAGAGGTGGAAAAAGAAAGTAAGGAAAAAGATGTGAATTTGTTATAGGTGAGAAGTGGTTCCATTCAGGAAATAGTTCAGAAATATTCACAATAATAGGCTTTTATGCTGAGTTGGAAGTTGGTGGATCAAAGGGACAAGTACTGGGAAAAACACCTAGGCTCAGGCCACCCAAAGTATTAGGTAAAGAATTAAACAAATAGCTTGAATTTCTAAGCCACAGATCTCCTTACCAAGCCACAACTGTGACAGCTACTATGTTCAAGGACCAATTGCCCAACATGTGAGAAGGGTCAACACCATGAAAAAGACATAAGAAGATCTAATCATCATGGAATTATTCACCAAGGAACAAAGCAAATGGGGCAATCAGAAAATAGCTTCTATATGTTTTACAAATGACGTCAGATATAATATAGAAAGTAGGATATTATATAAAGTTAGATTCAGATTATATAATCACATAGTCTTTATCTCACTAAAAAGCTGTCTTATTTTAACACTATTTTTCTTGGTTACTCACTTTTAGCTGTAACGTGGGTTGTCCTCCAGTGTCCTCACAGAACAGACACATTTTTGGATTCTGGATTCCAAAATAAACGGGAACCCCTTTGTCTTTCTGAAGAGCCTCTGGATACTTGCACGGGATAATATTGATGGTAACTGTTAAGATAAAAGGGGATATGTGTCCTTTTCCATTTGAAATCAGAAAAGACTCCTTGATCTAACAGGGTAACATCTTCTCGGCAATGTTGAGAGAGACGTTAAGATTATAATCCTCATGATTCTTGACCTGTTAAATAGCCAACCATCACATCCATTCAGTCATTGATCCATCCATTCATTCCATGTGCCATTCACCACTCTAGCACATGGAAAAAAAAAAACTGTGATTGATGGGAAGCGCCCAACCCTAGCAGGCCCTTGGATCCTTGTAAACTCTGGCCTCTAGTGAGTTTTACCCTAATTTAATGTCAAAATCTTCTTTCCTGTGATAGTCTTCTTAGTCCTTTAAGGGTAACATGAGGTAACTCAAGCTACTCCTCTTCTGTAGGACAAAGTAGTGGCTCCTTTTGTCCTGGCGATTCCTCTATCATTCTGACTTCTTTACCTCTCCCTGTTTTCCTTTCCCAGGCAGGTATGAAATCCCCCCGTCCATGTGAACCCCATGATAAAATCATAGAATTTAGGACACATAATAAGTGTACATATTTATGGGACACAATGTGATGAGTCAATGTATGTATATATTACATAATGACTACAGCAGGGTAATTAGCATATCCATCAGCCCACACATTTATCATTCCTTTGTGGTAGAAGGCATCGAACATCTTTCTTCTAGTTATTCTGGAATACACAATACATCATTATTATTATTACTACAATCAGTCTACACTAGCACTTAAGCTTTAGCTTTCACAAAAGGCCACACCCACGTAAGGAGCACAGCAGCCAGAGGATGACAACTCACCTGCTGCCACTTTGTCACTTCGTGGAACTGTCACCAGGGTCTGGCCCTGAAGGATCCACACCTGCTGATCCAAATCGGAGACCTCCCCATGGTGAGGCCTACTCATTGCTGTTGGATGAAAAAAAAAAAAAGCCATAAAGAGACATGTCGATCAAGGCTGCCTGGTTAGCCACAAGGAGAAAGAGCATCAGATCCAAGCCCTTCAGGAAGCAAAGTCAGGACTTACACACCAAAACCAGCAGTGCTCACGTGTCCAGGCTCAGGTAAGAAGTGTGAGGGCTCCCAAAAGTGAGAAGTGGCCTAAAAGGCCAAACTGTCAAGATCAAGGTAATAAGCAGTCCCAAACACACTGTGTCAAGGCCCAGCTACTTTGTTGTGTGCGGCTCTGTGCTTGGCCCACATCGGGGACTAAAGGTGGAGCTGTGAATGAGCAACAGTCCCCAGGCCCCAGAAGCTCCCAGCTCAGCAGCAGAACAGCACCAGCTGTGAAGGCCATACACAGAGAAGGACAGAAAATAGCGGGGCTCCAGAGGATCAGGTATGAGCACAGGTGGCCATGGCCTTCATGGTCACATCTCAAAATCACCTTCATGGATCATCTTTCCAGTGTCCATCATACTGCAGTTGTCTCAGTAACCTATGGGGACAGATACAGGACAGATTAACTTTAGGAGAGGTTTCCAGATCTTTCCAGGATGCTGGTGCCTTAGGGCCTCATTCTAGATAGGCAGCCAGAAAGCCTGACCTGACATGAAGCTTTTGGCAGAAGATCTGAGCTACCTTCCAGGGAAAAATCTTCAAGATAGCCTCAAAGAAGGCAGATTAGAAGAATTTTCTTCCACCCAGAGACTCAACCAATAACAGTATCTCCATAGAATTTCCAAGGCCAGGCAGGGATCTGCCTCTAATACCTCCATGGGTCCTGATGCCAATATCACCTCCTCCCCAAAGAATACTTCTTTTCACCAGCCTCAGTTTCTGCTGAGGGAAAGGACCTGCCAAGATTCCAGGGAAATTCCTGGTGAGACCAGCAAGCCCCACCCAGGATAAGACCTAGTGCCCACCTGGTGTGGAACCCAGCCTCTTGTTGGACCCAAGAGTACAGAAGACTTCAGAGACAGATAACTTTCCAGCTGTCAGTGCACCTAGCAAAGAAGGGTTTTCCTCAAAAGTCCACGAGACTGAATCACGGCCAGCTACCACAGCCTCCTGAAGCACTGATGGATTGTGCCAGAACCTGGACCATTTATCTGGAGGATAAATGGCTTGAGGCTCCTTGGAGGGTGTGACGGATACATGACACAGAAGCAATCCAGTTCCTCCTGCCAGGAGATTCCATGAGCCATAAGTGGGGGGAAAAAAAATCAGCACATATATGACCTGCCTAGCCTCCCTGAGAAATCACTGTTGAGTCAAGCCTTACGAGATCCACCACAATGAAAGAGAGTTGATGACTGATCCCAGATTTCTCAAAAAGGGGAGACTAAGGGACTTCCCCAGAGCCCAGCTTTCCCTCTGGGTCACAATGGGGTTAGGACTGGAAAGGTTAGGCACATTTCCATAGACTGCTGGGGCTAAGAGTCCAGTCTTTGACAATCAGGCTAAGCAGATTCTGCAGGAGTAAAAGTACTTGTGTGCTTTAAGCAAGATAAATATGGCATTTCTGGCCAACCAATTTCCTCACATTAGGTCAATATGAATGGGGGGACCAGGCCAAAGAGCCCCCTTACCTAACACTCTTTCAACTTCCCAAAGACACACCCCTCCACTTGGTGAGCCACAGGATGGAGGCGGCGATCTGATTTTAGTTTCCCTCCTCTCCCAAAAAGAGTTCACTCCAGACTTCCTAGACACTACAGAAATAGGCAGTGATCCCTCCTTGAAAACAGCCCCAGAACCCAGCTCATCCCCCACCTCCTTAAACAGTACATGTGGATGTTCCCAGGGAGAAGGAATGCTTCTTTGTCTAGCATGCACAGTCCTGTCCCATCCCAAGCCATGAGTGAAATGAATTTCAGGAGAGAGACTAGAAGCACCTTTGCTTCCATATTTACCTGCCTATCTTAGAGAAAAGATGCCGAGACATAACTTTCTAGATTTGCCTCTGTATCAGCCCCTCTTCCAAATCCTCAAGATTTACCTTATTTAAGCCCAATCTCTTCTCTAACCTTGAGAAGTTTGGTCCTTTTCCATAAAAGCCCCAATCCAATTGCTGTAGATCCAGTTTCTCTATTACCCTAGTAGAGAACCTGATAGTGAATTTGGGGTCAAATGACAATAAAATGCACTTTGAGTCAAACCTGAGCAGTGTTTCCTCTTCTGAGTCCTCACTGTCCGGATGAAAAGCCATCATATATCAGTTAACATACTAGCATCTGAAATGCCCATCATTTCAATGCCAATTCTCTTTGGTTTCTCTTTGGATTCAGTTAGGACCCAGAGAGGAAAGCAGACTCCATACTGGGAACTGGAACCAAAGCAAATCAAATATAAAGTATTAGGTGTGTTTATGTTGCAAAGAACAAAAGGAATTACAAGAAAACAAAAGAGAATCTAAGAACCAAGGAATTCAGAGGAGGTATCATGCAAGACTAATACGCAGAGGGGTAGACTCTACTACCTACACAGCTGGCATCCTTACAGATGTTGATTCAAGTCCCAAGATGCTCCACTTCTAATCCAGCTTCCTGCTGACATGCCTGGGAAGGCAGGAGAGGATGGCCCAACTCCTTGGGCACCTGTACCCACACGGGACATCCAAAAGAAGCTCTTGGCTTGCAGGTTGAGACCACTACAGCTCTGGTCATTGCAACCATTTGAGAGTTAGCCTGTGGATGAAAGCTATCTCTGTCTCTCCTCACTATGTAACTCTGCCTTTCCAGTGAAAATAAATAAAGCCTTTGAGTAAAGCCTGAATATGTCTTGCCACACATGTTGCCCAAACCTCTGTGGTAATATGACACATGTTCTTAATATCAGCTCATTCATTTGGTTCCGACTCCTCACTAGCTTTCCGGTACTCAGAAAATCAGCCCTTTTCCCAGATTTCCAATCTTTAGCATCCATTCTGAAATTCCCTGCTCAAACTTTGGTGTGAATGACTAACAGAAATTAGAGGAAGTGGGAGTTCATGAGTTTGTTTTGCATCACTATAACTAAACACCTGAAGCTACAAGGCAGAGACTTATTGATTTGAGAGACTTATTGTGTTGAAAGCCAAAAGTCTGAAACTAGGTGTTCCCATCAACTTTGCCTCTGGTGAGGGTCACATGGCAGGAACACGACAATGATGTGGGCATGCACAAGAGTGATCACATGGTGAAACAAGAAGCCAGAGAGTGGGAGAGAATCCATCTTGCTCTCTTACAACAGCTCTCCCTCAATAACTGACTAGGATACCATAAATGCTATGATAATCTCTTGTAAGGGCAAAAACCCCAATAACCTAACCTCCTTTCATTAGGCTCCACCTTTTAAGGACCTCATCACCCCTCAAAACTGCTACATTAACTTGTAACACATGACCCCTCGTGAAACATATTAACATCATCCATGATCATAACACAGAGTGGTGGTGATAGAAAGGGAAGCCATGAACAATTAGCATTGGTAACTGAAGCAGAGAGCCCATCTACTGAAGAAATGATGCAGTTTTTATCTGAAAATAGAAGGATTAGGTAGTATGATTATGGGATATCCTAATTGTATTTGAGAAACTATCAATATTGATGGGGATTATGAAAAACTGAACACCTAGTTTTGCTATGCTAATATAACCCAGTTGCCAGATTCTTTCATTCATGTTTTATAACCGTGCAGAATAATGACAATGATACACAACATCAAAGGTGGCGTCAGCCAAAATCCAGTAAGTACTCACAAGGTCAATGTCCTAGATATGGAAATGATTGTAAGGAAAAACAGTCCAGATTCCAGTTTTCAAGTTATAGGATTATGTCCTCCACATTAATTTGGTAATCAGTCCTACTAGTTTGCTTACTTAACGTGCTTGTAACTTTATTAAGTGAAAGAGACATCACAGGAACCAAGTAGGGTAAAAGAATTTGCTCATTCACCACCACACAATCTCCAGAGTCTTTTCATACATGTCCAGTCTGTAACATCTTATTCACATAACCAGACTGACAATCATGAATGATAAAGTTGGTGATATCATTAAGCAACAATACTTGCCAATTCTTCCCAATAGAAGTAAACTTAAGATTTACAACTCCCAACACCAAACCCATGGCTCTTTGCTCAAGTGCTGACCAATTCCCTTGGGGCTCCAAAGAGAACCAGATCAACTGAAACTTAGGCTCAACTACAGGCTGCCTCCTGGCACCGATGGTGTGGCATAATAAAGTTGTACACTTATGTGCAATAACAATGCTAGACAAAAAGTGCCTAACTTTGGACAGCACACCGTTCACTGCTTAAGGAAGTATGAAGGTTAAATGTCTAACATTTTTAATTCTTGGACAATGAACCAAATGACAGAGAATCTCTTTCCCTTACCCAGAAGTCCACGTTATGTTAGCTGCAAACTCCTTGAAAAAAGAGATGACATGTTGAGTGTCAAAATTTAACATTTGGAACAACATTTGGGCTAAATACACCATGAAAAAAAGTTAAAAGATCAAGCCACCAGTGAGAAAATATTTGAAATACACTCAACAAAGGATTATTATCCGAAGTTTTAAAACAATTCCTACTAATCAATACAAAAATACAAAAAAAAAAAACTCTATAGAAAAGATAGTGGATGTAAAAATGTATTCCACGTTGTAAATGGTTGTTGATGTTATGTTGGGGCTTTTAATTGATTGGGATGATACTCTGCCGGCTTTACCTTCAGACCAGAGATGGTCTCACCAAGAAATCGTTGGACCCACTAGGATAATAAGACGCTGGACTTTATGCTTGGTAAATACTTCCAATGAAAGAACCTCAACTGAATTTGAACTGTGGTAATGCAGCAAGGTGGAGAAATCCACCATGGGGAGAGGGTTCGGGGAGGGTTCGGAAAGGGGTGGGGGGAATCCCTTTGCCCATAACACTGTGTCACATAATGCAATGCAATTAATAAAAAAAAATATATTCCAC